TCATAGCCGGTTCTGCTGGGCTTCGAGGGTGGCTGGCGGTATTGCTGTTGAGGCAGATGCTGCTGATGCTGCTGCTGCTGCTGCTGCTGCTGCTGAGGGGCAGGCCTGGAGAAGCCCTGACGAGCTTGGTACAGCATCTGCTCCTCCTGCATCGTGTTCGAGATCTGTGAGGTCTGACCAGCGAAATCGAAGTCCTTGCCCACGCTCTGCTGCGTGACAGGCCCGTCGCCGCCGAAGGTGTCATCGTTGAAGGCATCGTCGGTGTCGTCGAGCTGTCCGCCTAGGCCCTGGTACGTCTCCTCGAAGTCGATGCTGTGTAGATGGGTAAGCAGAGGTCAATTACTCACTCCTGCGCGACATACACATCGTCATCGGCTGCCCCTCCACTGAAGCCGGCGAAGGCATCGTGCTGCCCAAAGCCCGGCGCATTGGTCTGGTGACCACGATCCCGAGGCAGGTCGGTGTTGAAGCCAAAGAATGACATGATGGGCGGTGCCCGGGTGGTTGCTCGTGTGAGAGGTTACGCGCGAAATGTGGGTGTTTTCTCAGTGGATGACGTTGAGCGAGGGTAGGTAAAGGTAAGCACGGGTGGCGGCCGTGTCTCTGAAACTGCGCACTGAAACAAAGCGCGCGAATGTCGCAGCGCCGGAGGATACCAATGCGACAGCGAAATGATGTGTCGATTGGACTCCTCTGGTGGTGATGCCCTCGCAGCTCTGTCGCGCCGCAATGTGCTCGGACGGCAACGCAGCGCCGCCTCCCCTGGTGCCCAGAGCTCAGCCCGCTGCACCCTGAGCCAACGGGCCACACTAACGCGCATACGAGTGCAACGAGTCCTACTCCTTTTCGAACTCGTGTCCTGGTAAGACTCTGCATCCAGCGTCTTTTCACCCTTCTCCCTTTCCGCAGTGGATGTGCACGCCTCGCACCTGCTGTCCGCTCGTTTTCCGGTCCTCTCTACAAATTCCAGACCACGCGTTCAGTCTGGGACCGGCCGCCCTTGAGCACCTCCGCACCCCTTCCCAGTCGCAACCAGGCGCTGGCCACGAAACATCATCCACCACTTGAACGCCAGCAGCGCGCTCTCTAGATCCCCCGATCCGACACAATGGCGGGCACCCAGCGCTACCTCCGCTACATTGTCTTTGCGCTCTTCGTAAGACGCCCGCTGGACCATCGCCCTTAACATGCACTGACCTAGCAACCCAGGCGCTCGTTCTCCTCTACTTCATCGGCTCCTCGTCGTCTGTACCCTCAGCGCCGAGCTGGCCTAGCTACGGTTCCGGCACCAAGGACACCCTCACGCCTGCGCCGGGCACGCCCAGCACGCCAGACACGCACGATGCCGTCGAGAAGCCCCACGAGTCGCACGCCGCTGCGAAGCCCCCATCGACCCCCAACACCCACGAGCTGCCGCCTGCGACCATGCCCGGCGACCGCATGAACGCCACTTTTGTCACCCTTGCCCGTAACCAGGACGTCTGGGAGATCGCCAAGTCCATCCGCCACGTCGAGGACCGCTTCAACCGCAAGTTCAACTACGACTGGGTCTTCCTGAACGACGACGACTTTAATGACGAGTTCAAGAAGGTCACCACTGCGTTGGTCTCCGGCAAGACCAAGTACGGCAAGATCCCCAAGGAGCACTGGTCGTTCCCTGATTTCATCGACCAGGACAGAGCAGCCCGCGTTCGTGAGGAGATGAAGGAGAAGAAGATCATCTACGGCGACTCCATCAGCTACAGGCACATGTGCCGCTACGAGTCTGGCTTCTTCTTCCGCCACCCCTTGATGCTCGACTACGAGTGGTACTGGCGCGTCGAGCCCAGCGTCGAGATGCACTGCGACATCAACTACGATACCTTCAAGTTCATGGCCGACAACAAGAAGAAGTATTCTTTCACTCTTTCGCTCTACGAATACGTCGAGACGATTCCCACTCTCTGGGAGGCCACCAAGAACTTCACCAAGACCTTCCCCGAGCACATTGCCAAGGACAACTCGCTGAAGTTCATCAGCGACGACAACGGCGAGACCTACAACCACTGCCACTTCTGGTCCAACTTTGAGATCGGCAACCTCAACTGGCTCCGATCCAAGGCCTACATCGACTACTTCGAGTCCCTCGACCACGCCGGTGGTTTCTTCTACGAGCGCTGGGGCGATGCGCCCGTCCACTCCCTAGCCGCGGCCCTCATGCTGAAGAAGGACGAGATCCACTTCTTCAACGATATCGCCTACTACCACGTCCCCTTCACCCACTGCCCTACCGGCGAGCAGTTCCGCCTTGATCATAAGTGCCACTGCAACCCCAAGGACAACTTTGACTGGAACGGCTACAGCTGTAAGCACGGCACCTCACGTTGCGCATGACATCACTGACAACTTCACAGGCACAGCTAAGTTCTATGAGCTCAACAACATGAAGAAGCCAGACGGGTACGATAAGGAGCATTAAGCCCCTCACCCCTTCCATCTATTTCGCGCCGCCTCGTTCACCGCGCCGCTTACGCACACACATCTGACTTCTGTCTGAAGTGCACCGCTCACGGTCCGCGACATATCCTGGATCGCGCTGAAATGGATATGCATCTTCATCGCCGTTGCGACTGTTCTGGGCATCTACTTTGGCCGCAAACGCCAGAATCGCTTCAACTACGACTAGACTAGGGAACACGGATGATCTTCTCAACACAAGCCAGTTTGGCATTAGGGACGGTGTATTATTTGGCGTTGGATTGGGGCTTCGGCTATCCTCCATTGGTGGCACTTTTAGGGAAAAAGTGGTGCGGTGCCTCTCTTGTTATCATCGTCAGTCAGTCATGTACGCATCATTGTATTCATACGAATGAAGTCTTTGAAATAGCGTTGCCGCGAACACGTCATGTTGAGGTTGAATGGATTTTTGGAGGTGCACATGATCAGCCTGGTGTTCGATTTTGGACCGCCGCAAACCTCAGGAGATCCGCATGCACTTCTGGTAGCAGACACTGGGGTTGATTGGGCGTACAGCGGATCTGACTAGGAGAACTCACACCGTGTGAGTGGCGTGGTTGCTGCGGGTGTTCTCGAGCCGCAAAACTCATTTGCACATGTGCAGATTGCCACGTCTTTTTGGACCGCGCGAGCCATTTGTACCCTGCATCTAAGTTTCGATGTGGAATAGAAGAACATGTGGATGTATAATGCATCAGCTCCTCGACTGTGTTTCATTGTGGATCAAGTCCGCATGTACGAGCAGACTGACAGCAGTTAGGCCCTTTGCTTTGGCTCAGAGGCAGGGTCAAGGCCTGACGACCTTTCAGAAGCAGTGACACACTTTTCGGCCAGCGCTCGCCTCTCCACATGGAACTGCTTGATCGGGTTTTTGGCAGCCCGTCTCGGCACAACACGAATTCACCAGTGAATCTTCTTGGGCAGAACAAACATTGAATTTGACTTGTTGCTTTCTGATGAAGGGTTCACACAGGTTACAAAGTAAAGAAGAGAACCATTTCCGAGCAAGAGACAAAATAGGCGTCAGGAGCCCTTTTCAACGACAACATGATAGTCAGAGTTTCTGGTTTCCAATCCACCGCAGACATGGCGTCTTTGATGAGTAGTTTTGACTGTTCGAGCAGCGGAGATCATGTACTCTTGGCGTACCAGTTTCGTTTCAAAGAGAAGGCACTCGCAGATGTTGAGAGCAACGTCTGAGCTATTGCGCTTTATATGACGGATTTTCCCCACATGCATAACGATGATAAGCACCGTCACTGCTTGAGAAAAAGACATGGCGCAATAGTTTCTCTACTTCAACTAGAGTGAACCAATTGGAACATGGCAGATTCGAAACGCGTCCCTCTACAGGAACATCACTGTACATCGTGCTGCGCAGATCCCTCTTGATGTTGTGGTTGGGGCGCTGCTCCAGAAGGATCAAGTACAAGCATTGTCAAGATACTCGTTGAGATCATGCGAGCAGTTGTCGATGCGGTATGAGCGCAGGCTGTTGCTCGGATATGCAACTTCGTCAGGAAGGGCGTGGCGAAAGCGTGGGTCGGTAATTGCGCGCTCATGATTGAGTAACACGGCGATATCGACCAGGTCGACAGGCTCGGTCTTTGAAACCATGGTGGATGGCGTATCTGTCAAGTTAGTTTTGGGTGCGAGGTGCAAATGTCTGTATTTATAGTTGCAATCCAAAGAGCGACTCGCCTTCACCTTGACTTCCTGCCTACAATCATTGTGAAATGAGAACAGAAACGGGCAACCGTCTGCAATCGCAGAATGCTAAGTCCGCTTGGAATCAGTTTCAACTCAAACCTTTGATTTCGAAAGCGTGAGCGGTCACAAGTCCAGCTTTGCGGATAATGTTGTTGGTTGTTGTGGTTAACCAAGAGGCGCTGATGGCAGTCACTGAGCCACAACACGACAACGAGCCTCCAAAATGAGCTGAGAATTTGTCGGTGCAAGCATGTATATCTAAGAAATGCTTCGCGATGATTGAAAAGTATTTCGGTTGGAGTGTCGAGCTGCTTTGATTTTTCCTGCGAGCTGTAGCGTTTGAACAAACCGAAGACTTTGCGGGCATGGTGTGCGGCCCTGAAATAACGTCCAAATTGCCAAATCCCAAGCAAAGATAGACACAAAAGTAAGCGCTAGATCAAAAGTTAGCGCATCATAAGAAATAGCGTTTGTTCATGTCATACTGCTTTCAGCTGCAGCACCACGCCGTATCCAAGAAAACCAGCGAAATCATACGCCAGAAAGACACATAGAGCGCTGACTACAGTCGAATTAAACCTGCTGTTCGCAAGTAGTGAGATCCGTTGCGTTGATACAACAAAAGGTACTTCCGTCTTAGGCAGCCAAACTGTTCACCTGGAGCTTTTTGGCATAACGTTCGACGCCACGCTCGAATTGACATCTCGATAGGCTAGATACGTCGAGGTCTGTCTCTGGGCAAAAAGAAAACCCCCAGAGGCCTTATGCAGGCCGTCTGGAGGCGGAACAATGATGGGTCCTGCCGCGACTCGAACGCGGGGCCTCTCGCAACAGTGCTTAGTGCTGGACGGTGCTTTACGCAAGTCCCTAAGCGAGAATCATACCACTAGACCACAGGACCTCTTGTTGTGATGAAAGAGACCATTCAAATAAGGTATATATCATAGGATTTCAAGGTTGTGGTTCATGCGTCAATCGGCGGTGACGGTGTTGTTGTGAGGGCTGACTCGGCTCACAAAGGCGCTAGTGAACACCAATATTCGTGTTGACCCACAGCAATTCCGGACTGCGGTAGGATTCCGTTGTTGCGTTGCCCTTGCTTGAGGATAGCTCGTTGGTGGCCAAATCAAATTTTGCGAGTCGAATTCGTCTGCGATGGGGCTTAGAATTTCGATGGCGACGATGAGCACTGGCCAATGCGATTAGTAAGCGGGGCCGTGGGAAGAGTATTTCATTGTCATGATCGAGTCGCTGAGTCGAAATTTCGCTTTGTCGAATTGTTGCACGATGGGACTTGGGATCTCGATGAAACTTGAGATTCCGATGGTGACGACGACTTAGAATCCCGTCGTTACGTCTCTTGCTCTAGAAGTGCTCGTGGGAGGCCAGCTGAGTCGAATTTTTGCGAAGTCGAATTGGTGCATCGTTGAACTTCGAAATTCGGAGGCGACGACGACGAGGACGAACACTGGCCAATGCGAATATAGACTTGAACGTAGAGAGTATCTGATTGCCATGTCCCAGGAGAACCAGCCATTGGGTATGCTGTAAGATATAAAAGGGGATAGTATGGCTAGAAAGCCAGAATGAGAAATAAAAAATAGAGGATCAGGGTCGAACGCCCATGCCGAGTCCGACCAACTCGAAGATGATGGGATCGAGTCCTACAGCGAACCAGCCAATGCCTGCAAAGAGTCAGAATCTGTTCACCCATAAAGATTTGAAGGGACTTACCACTGTAGACAATCAGCTTGGTAACGACCTCAACATCGTACCGCACTCGTGGCTTCGTGAGTTTCATGAAGATCTCGCGCTTCTCGTTCTCTTCCTCAGACTTGAGCGAGGCTTCACCAGTGAGATCTGTGTCACTGTCTGACGGCGTATCGACCTTGCCATCGAGACCTCTAATATTGCCTGTGCCCATCACCTGCTCGTATGAGTGAATTCGAGAGGCCATTGGTAAGGGCAGCATGCCGGCACCCATCAATGGCTGACCCTTCTCGACTGCGGGTGTCACTGCTTGTGATGGCGGAGTCGACGACCACTCCAGATCTTCCAGCACCGTCCCGTCGGATGAGTTGACGCTTTCTCGTCGCCGACGGTTGCGGTACGCAAGCGTCTCGTAAGCATCTGAAGCCGATTGTGGTCCAACTGAGACGGACCGTTTGCGTGGATGGGCCAGATTCTTGAGCATCTGCGGCAGCTGCGAAGCGGGTGGAATGACATTGTCATCGTCGCGCATGTTGGGAATGGATGTGTATGATGAGGCGTTGAGGAAGAAGGCGCGTGGCAGGTTCATGCGACCTCGTTCCAGCAGTCTGAACAGCGGCGGCAGTATCTTAAACAGCGTTGGCTTTGCCGTGGCTCTCCACACGAAGATGATGACAACACCAAGCAAAGTGCGTACTATGGCCCTGGGCAGCCCTATCTGCGAGAGCTCGAACGGCACTGTGGATGGGTAGATGTCGTTCATCGCGAATCCTGACTGCGCGTAATGCCAGGCACCGATGTTGATGCCAACCACAACGCCAGAGAAGGCAACGCTATCATCGAAGCATGGGCAGTCGTCAGCAGGCTCTGGGTGGATTCGAACCAGCACAAAGATGACCAAAGTAGCTATCATGAGATCCTTGTAGGTTCCACTGAAGATCCACGAGTCTATCCAGTCGCTGAACACCAGTTGAAATATGGTGATGAGTGCGCCGAGTGCACTTCCCACCAGTACATCGAGGAAGCCATGCATGCCACAGTACAGCCGTCCAACTATAATGGATACAGCATAGAGGTAGAATAACGCTTGCAATCCAATGTTGACCGTAGGGCTGTACTCGTCTGACTGGCGCAGCATGTATATTGCATAGAAGGTGACAGAAACAGCGTTCGTCGAGTGCGAGGATGGGAAGCCGTACTCAAGCGCTGCTGAGCCGGACATGGAGATACGGGCGAGAGGCGGCGACAATGGGCGCGGTAGACATAGCATATCCTTTAGGAATCCGCTCCAGTAGATTCCAGCAGCTAGCATGAACACGGTGCTGCACATGTCAGATGTCGCACTATCTTCTAGGTCTGGCTGACAGGTCTTTGACATACGCTCGTCCAAGGCTTGTGTACCCGCACCAGAACTGAATTGGCAGGAAGACCATGAAGAAGGTGTGCGTCCCAAGGTTCGCTGTGTAGGCAAAGTACGTGTCGAGCGCCGGCGAGCGCATGCTGTCTTGCATCCAGGCAAGCCATGGAGTCTCCCAGCGCACTATGGGGATGAGGCGATTGCGCAAGGCATTGCGCCACTTGGGCAGTCGTCGAGCATCTGTTTAGCGCTCAGCTTGCGTCTCTTTCTATTGCACACAGCCAGCACACACAGTGGTCGTGGTGTCGGTTTCCCGCATCCAGCCGCTTCTCCTTTTGCGCCGGCGCTGACATGGCCGCGACTATTGGTTCAGGAGCCGCGCTCGCGGGCGCATCATGCTGGGGACACATGGGAGCAGTCGGCGGAAGGGTGTCTCAGGGCAGACAGGACGAGCATGCCCAGCGGGCGGGGTGGACTCGCGGTGCATGCGATGCGGCCGTGCGCGTTGGGTGTCGCACATGGATGACGGCGACCAGGATGACGGCCTAGCGCCTTGTGGTTGCCAGGGAGGATGGACCCAACCACGTTCATAAACACGGCGGCCCATAAGCCTCGACCACTCGCTACCATACCGCTGCCCCAGCACCCCAACCCGCCGTCCACATTGTTACCACAGTCTGCATTCCTGCGACTATCGAACGTTGGCATCTCCACACTGCGCTTCTGTCATGGCTACCGCACCCTCGCAAAACTACGACTACCTGCGCCGCAAGCAGAGCACAAAAGCCCCAGGAGCTACGTCGATCACACCGGTCCGCAAACCCATACGCACACCCAGCGAACGCAACAGCAATGGCACAGTCAGCTCATACGGGACATCGCAGACAAACAACACGAACATCACCGAGCCGCCGAGCTTCTCGAAAAAGCTGGTCGTCGTCGGCGATGGCGGCTGCGGAAAGACATGTCTGTTGATCAGCTACAGCTCCGGCAACTTCCCAGAGGTATAGCAGCATCACCTCACCATCACTGCTCATCGTCGCTGACTGTCGCAGAAATATGTACCGACCGTATTTGAGAACTACATCACCCAGACACCGCATCTGCCAACGGGCAAGATGGTCGAGCTTGCTCTGTGGGATACCGCTGGGCAAGAAGAGTACGACCGCCTGCGACCGCTATCGTACCCAGAGACCGACATCATCTTTGTTTGTTTCGCTATCGACTGCCCCAATTCGCTGGAAAACGTCATGGACAAGGTACACTGCCCAGTTTCTGCTTTTAGTCGTACACACTAACTCGTCTAAGTGGTACCCCGAAGTCCTCCACTTCTGCCCCACAACACCACTGATGCTGCTTGGTCTCAAGTCAGATCTGCGCAACAAAAAGAACTGCATCGAGCTTCTCAAGACTCAAGGTCTTACACCGGTGACTCCTGAGCAGGGTCGTGCTGTCGCTAAGAAGATGGGCGCCATGTACATGGAGTGCAGTAGTAAAGAGCAGGATGGTGTTGAAGAGATTTTTGACACCGCTGTCACCATTGCCGTCGGCGATGAATGGAAGACACCAGAGACCCCATCGCACACCTCCAGACCCACCGCAGCTGGGCATCACCGGACCATCTCCACCATGTCAGATCTACCTAAGAAGAAGAAGAAGGGCAGCAAGGGATGCACGATTCTCTGAGCATACCACTGCAATCGAAGGAACGGCTATCTCGACACACGACGCTGGACGACACGATCAAGATGCTTAATGACCATCTCATCACGCCTTCGACCCTTTTGCATACTGGTGGCACGCTCTGCATGTCAGACACTGCCACCACTTCTGTAGTCCCCTACTCGTATATGATTCGACGGCGTTTCTGGCTGCTTTTGAGCGACTATCTGTACGACTAGGCTTGACCTAAGAAGTCTACGTGTGCATTCTACTTTCTGTATCTGTATTCGGTATCTAGTTGGGCGCGGGCGTACCGCCGCGCGTAGGAATAAATTTTAAGTACTTCCACAGACACTGCCATCCTGTTTGCCCAGTGACTTTGCAGCCAATATGCCACTCTTCCAGTGACCCTGTGATTCCGTACTAATGACACTCGCCCAAGAGATCTCAACATCCTTGAGGTCTGACATCATATCTGCACAATACATGAGCACGAGCAGTGTGGCCCTAGCCAGATTGTCACAACTTGCAGCACCAGCTACATGTCACACTGCGATCTTGACCGCCTGTGCTTAGAGCAGCCGAGATAGGTGTGCATCGTCTTAGATCCATTTTGACCAGGACCATATCAACAAGGATCGAACTGATACTTGTGTATATACCGACCGTACAAGCGTCTCCTCACCTCCCCACCGACCGTACATGTTCAAGCATTGTCAATCAGTTCTGCCTCTTTGGTCGAGCGCTGTGGACCTGATCACCCTTCTGATCCTCAAGACAGCTTCTTTGCTGTTCTCTTGATATGTACCGCGACTCGGTTAGTCTTTCAGATCCGCCGAACTGATTGCAGTAGGGTCTTGATCATCGTGACTGGGGCAGCCTCCTTGACCTCCACATCCGAACTGGTAGCTGCTGAATGACAAGGACTCTGCCACTGAGTCAACATAGTGTCACCTCACTTCTCATGCTCCGTCACTTCAGTAGCTCCCTCATGCTCAGTCTGCCCCTCCTGTGCACCCTCCTCATTCTCGTTTGGGTTCTTGGCCATGACGTTCTCGAAATGGCTCCATAACGACTCGACAGGGGCGAACTCAGTGCCGACTTGGGTGACTTCTTCGAGGGATCGATTCAGCTTGTTGATGTTTTGGAGGACGAGTTCGAGGCTCTGAAAG